AATAACAATCTGAATAAATGCCAATTAAACCTTCGAAAAGTTATGTTATTTCAAAATTGGTGGTTGCATCTTTTCATTATAAATGGTTGCATCTTTTCATTATAAATGGTTGCGTCTTTTCATTTATAATAGTTGCAACTTTTCATTGTATTTTTTCAAAATTATTTATATTGCACAGAACTAAAAACTAAAATCATTTAGATCTGATATTTACTTTTTTACTGTAATGGTTTATGTTTTTTTTTGCAAAAAAATATAAAATTCAGAATAGTTTTGAAGATGTATCTACATCAAAAAAATTAGTTAATAATTATAAAAAATGTTATGTGGCAATAAAGAAGCAAAACAATTATACAGTTTGTTTATGATATTAGCTTTCACAAAACTGATACCATCAAATCTCTCAAAGATATATAGATTGATGATCTATAAACCGAAATCAGAACTATGATTGTTGTGTCGTTTCTTACTATAATGGGTTTATTATTACAATAAGCTGTGAAATAATGAAAGTTTTTTTATGTGAGCATTCTTCTATGATTGTTGTGTCATGAAATGAGTAAATATCATAGCGGACTATAACTTTCCCCATCGACTAAAGATTGTGTTGTCTTTGAACATTATATTATACATATTACACAACCTAACGAAATCTCTCAAGTATCACCAGATCCATTTTAAAATCCCTGAGGATTTTTTTTCATTAGAAGGCAGCAATATGTATATTTTTTTGAATTTTCTATTTTTATTATTGAGGGTAATTCTAAAAGGATCCTTTTTTGCAAATTTCTGTTTTTTTAGTGAGGACCTAACTACAAATATAAAATATGAGTACTAGAGAAGAAAAGAAAAACAATACGGGACCAAAATTAGGGCTTGCTTAGAGACAAATAGGAACAAGAGAGGGAAGGGGTTTGAGCTTGGTTAGTCTTTGGATTAATCGTAAAGATCGGATACGTTGTTCAAAGATGATGAACACTTTCACAGCAACATCATTACCAAACACGTATATTCTCTCTTCCTTCCCTTTGTTTTGTTTTTATGATTTTTCAATTTTTTACTTTCCAAAAATCTTTTAACTAAAGGAATTTCTTCAAAATTAAAAGTATGTATATTTTCAAATAGTTTGGAAATAACAAAATTTCTTTCTGAATCTTCTTCGTTCTCTGAAACCATCTTGATTTTACTCTTAAAGTAGAAAATATGTTATACAAAACCAATAAATATAAATTAGAAATTTTAAACACCTTCAAAAGTTGCAACGTTCAATTACTCTCTTTTCACTAACAATCGTGCATTTTAAGTACGTGTGTCTTCTAAAATCTATTTATATTGCTTGATAACATTAAAAAAAACTATTCGTTATACATTTCCGTAAAATAGAATCATGTTCTCTCAATGGTTTGCTATAAATAAAGAAGATAAAGTAACGAAAAATCTATCATATAATCAATTAACCAAAAAATATGTATGGGACAAAGGTCTTAAAACTTGGACAGATGCATGTGTGACAAATAATCTAATTTGAAATGATGATGAATGATATGTGGCTATGAAAGAAGCATCATTTACTGCTACACCAAATCAATTGTGTAATTTGTTTGTCAAATTAGTATATCATAATGAAGTTACAGAACCATTAACACTATGGAATGCATTTTGGAATTATTACAATGATAAAATGGCTTCCCGAGAAAAAAAAAAAAAAAAAATTTCTGAATGATTATAAGACAGTCATGGCTCCTGTTGAAACGAATGAAGAGAATTGGTGTCTTATAGGATTTAAGGGAAGACACAGAAACAAAAGATTTAAAAGATAGTATTTTTAAAAAATTTATGGTTGTATCTTTTTATTATAAATAATTGCATTTTTTCATTATAAATAGTTGTGTTTTTTCAGCACAACTAAAATTTGTATCTTTTCAAATTTATTTATATTGCTTAAAATTATATAGAAATTCATTTTTGTCTGATTCTAATTTTTATTATTTAAATTTATGATACCAATAAAAAACACTAAACAGAAAAATTTGCATCCCTCACCGCCGAAGCTGCAATTCAACCGGAAGATCCTGTCTAAGAAGAAAATCAATACAGATCCACATCGAAGTAAATAGGAGACAAATCTAACATACATGAAAGCCTTTCAGGACAAGCTGAAACCAGAAGGGAGTAGAGAAATAGCATAAACAATACATCTAAAAAAGCAAAGCTAGCTTTTTCTTTTACCGTATGGTGTCAGAATCATCTATTAAGCATACACATAACCATGAACAAGATTTTCGTTGAGCAGTCTTGTGTCACACCCAATATGTATAACTTGGTTCATGGTTGGCTTTATTTGATTGATTTTTCTTCATTGGTGCAGCAGGTGACTCAAACTGGAATTATTGGTGAGGGAAGCCAAGAAGGATTTCAAGTGTGGTACGTTTAATTTCATATCTCCATCCCAAATGCAAATATCAATTCATTAGTAAATATCTTATATCTTACGATATTATAGCTTTTATTTATCTTACGATATTATAAAAAATAATAAACTACCTTATAGTAACCATATCATTTTTATTTGTTTTAATGTATAATAGTTCAAATAAATGCCATTTACATTTTCACAAATTGTGTCGTTTCAAAATTTATGGTTGCGTCTTTTCCTTATAAATAGTTGTGTTTTTTTCATCCGTTGTGAGTAGCGCCTTTTCATTATGAATAGTTGTGTTTTTTCATTATAAATTATTGTATTTTTTCATCACAACTGTAATTTGTATCATTTTAAAATTATTGATACTACTCAAAACCATATTAAAAATTAATTTAGATTTGATTTTTACTTTTTTACTATAATGATTTATCATAAATGTAGATTATCTAGATAGTTTTCTGAAAATAAAAATAATAACAGAAAATCTGAAATATAATCATTTTCCAAAAAAATATGTATGAAACAAAATTTTAAAAGCATAGAAAATATTTAATATTTTTATTCATCTTGAAAAAATATTTAATATTTATCTTTATTATGATGAAAAAATCTACTCACTGCATGCAACTTTAGAAAAGGTTTGAGAAAGTTTTGTTGATGTTAATGGAAGAGAAGCAAAGAGACATGGGTCATTTTATTTAGGTTAGATATATAATTATAATTTTCTTTATTAATATACAAATTAACTCTTTTATCAATATGTATGTATATATATATATATACCGGTAAAAAATCATCTCCAACTTTCTCAATAGATCATCTATTTAATTTGTCATTGTGCTTTGAAATCTTCAACTCCGTTGTTCTTGCATAAACTAATTGCCAAGACGGTAAGTATTCTTATTATATATTTTAAAATTTGTAAAGCGTCTGAAATTATATCATTTTTATATATCGATTTCTATCCAAAAGTAATAAGTTGTAACATTTTAAAAGTTGTAGTTACATTTTTTATTATAAATGATTATGTCTTTTCATTATAAATTATTATAGTTTATAAATAGTTATATTTTTATTATAACTGTAATTTTTATCTTTTCAAATTTATTTATATTGTCTAAAACTAAAAAAAAAAATCAGTTAAATCTGATGTTGTGAACGTTAATAAAAAGACACATAGAATGAGGGTGGGTTTATATCTTCTTAGACCAGCTTTTAGTCATAGACAAATATATGTTGTATTATCTAAAGTCATTTATTTAAAAAGTTTAAAAATTTATCAAGGCTAAAAAAAACAATGTTTAGAAAAAGTTTTTAATAATATTCAGTATCTTAAGCATCCCAATTGGGAACCTGCTCAAAACAGGTCCACGTAAAATCAGATGGCAATTATTTCTTTTTCAAACATTTTTTTTTAAATTTAGAGTTTTGGAACTACATCGTAGCAAATAACAGTACTTAAAAGCAGTGAAAACTACAATAGAGAAAGCAGTATAAATATTGGACAACAAATCTTTATTTTTCATTTACAGAAACGTTAAGATATATATTTAGCAGGATACAAATAGGTAGATAATAATTACAAATTATTCCAACAATTATAGGAAAAAAATTAACCATTTTTAAATGAATAGACATAATTTAAAAGGACGTAAATTTTCTCTTTTAAAAATTATTTAAGTCAACAGTTGCTTTATTTACTTAAAGAGCACTTATACTTGTATACTTAATTAATTAGAAATAATATATTTTCACTCTTTGGTAACACTCATATTTACTGGTTTCATTTTTTTTTAAAAATATAACTTTTTCTTCCTATAGCGTTAGATTGAACGAACTGTTAAAAAGTGAGTGTGGTGAAACAATCATTATAATTGTCAAGTTATACAACAATTTAGTTTCAATTACCAATATTAAAGTTATTTACTTTTAGTGACGTTAATTTTATATCTGAAGAGAGGTCTACATATAAAAAAAGATTTTAATAATTTTTTGATAAGTGAAGGAATTGAATTTGAAGAGGTAAACATGATTCTAATGAATGTTATACTTAGGGCTTGTGAAGTGATTGAATCTAGTGATTATTCACATTCAAAAATCATGACACTATTATCAACATTACATATTCACTAAGATATCACTTACGAGGATACTTGAAAGCAACAAACAATTAAAAAGTTTTTTGATTAATGAACTGTTGTACTAAAACCTTTTATTGAAAATATAATTATCTAATCGGAAATAATAACATTTTTTATAGAAACAAAGAATGAAGGAAAACATACTAATAATATATGTGCGTGATTTGCGAAGAACATTTTGTTGATAAATAAATTCTTCTAAAACTACCTTGCAATCATATATTTGATATAGATTGTTTTCTAAATATTTATGTTGTTATTAATTATCTTTTTAACTTATTAAATAAATATATTTAAATATAAATTTATTGATTTAACTATTTATGCATATTTTTAAAATATCAGTTATATAAAATAATTATTAAAAAATGAGTTTCTGCGCGGATTATTTACCTAGTTTATATAAAGAAAATCCCTAAAAGTCAACTTGATGCTTATAAAAACATGAGGCTCTCATAATGATCTGAGACAGTCACAGAAAGTTGACGGGCTTGCTTAAACTTGGAAACTGGCAGTCCTTCAATTATGACACTTCTCATGCTTTTCTTCTCCAAATTGTAATAGAAAAGATGAAAGGGATCAGACAACTTTTTTTGTAACCAGACAAATCTCGCCGTTATGAAAGGTATCCATGACCTTGAAGTCAAGGCCAGCAGCAGATTCGGGAAGATGAAAAGTGTTGAAGGACCATTCCTCTTTCTCAGCATCTTCCACAACCCACATTCTAAAACTACCCTCACGAGGATTCTCAACCGCACCAATTTTTCCTCCGTAGTTGATCAAAGTTTTATCCGTAAGATCCCACTGTGTAGGAAGCCACATATTCTCATAACCTCTTGGTACAACTTTGCTTGGTACTTTGATGATGTTGAACGTTTCAAGCCTAACATCAAAACTCATGATTATAGAAATATCCTTCCTAGCAAAAAAGGTATCCTGGAAAATCCCGTTATTGGGATCGATGTCCTTCTTGGAAGCCCCATAATACATGGCTCCGTTCATATACAACCCTCCTGTATGAACAGAGTGACGAGGACATGTGACACACGGAGCCTTTCCCCAAGCTTCTTTTCCTCCCAATACCATAACCTTGTGCTCCCCTCTCGGTGACCAATTATCAACGGCCAGCACTTTGTACTGATCGTCAACAGGATCGTACCCAAACATGTACTCAGGACATGGGAAATTTTGTGGAACATACTTGAATCTGATTTAAGGAAAATTATGCACCTGCCTCGTGCTTGGGTTACAAATCGCCATATTTGCAAAACCGGCTCCGACGCAGATCAAACCCCGAACCGCATTATACACCTCTTTCCCTTTAATGTTGACTAGGCTCAGATCTCCGTAAGAAGAGGAAGAGGAAGAGGAAGGTGTGTTTGGGTTAGTCAACGAGGCTACCAGAATCTTTTCACCGTAAAAGTCTGCAAAAGCAATGAGGAGACGAGGAGGAGCAGCTGAGTAAGCTACAATATTCATGTGCCGGTTATTGAAATCTCGGCTGGTGATGACTGAGCACCAAACCTTGGAGACGCATCGAAATCTATATAGAGACTTCACATGCAACCTTAAGAGTGTATTGATCTGGAGATCCAGAGGAATGTAGATCGCTGCCATCATCGAGTCTAGATCGGTGCTTGAATCGGAACATAAACTTCAAAAACCCTAACTTTTTAACCTAATTAATTGATTGCGCAGGAAGAAAGAGAGAATAATAATAAAAGAAATGTATGCAGCAGGCGGCCCAGATACACATAATTGGGCCCGAGGAATGTAGACCGGTCTCATCGTATAGACTGGTGCTTGAATCGAACCTAAGCTTTGTGTCTCCTAAAAATTGACAATCCTTACTTAACCTAACAGGATTACAGGAATTTGGGAAATTCCCTTTCTATTGTTTTATTTTCGGGTATATTTGTTTTTTGAACAACTTGAACAACTTGAATAATTTATTTTCGGGTATTTTAAACTATTGGATGCTTAATATCACAATACGTACCAAATAATCACATGACACTTAACCAAATAGTGATACAGTATGCAGGAACAGACCACTGAAATCAGTAGAGCCTGAAGAATTCACTACATTAAAGAGCAGGCAGAACACTTTCAAATCACTAATTATATGCTACTCTATCTAATCACTGAATTCTGAATATCCCTAATATTACAAGACGTACCAAATAGACACACGACACTGAATCAGAAACTTATATAAGAGAATAGTTGATGCTGTTCGTCGTTGACTTTTTCAGCGTGTTTTCTACTTCTTCTTCTCCTATAGTTAGATTCACAATTCTCCCATATATTATTCTTTTTCTATAATCAGATTCACAATTCTCCCTCTAAATTAAGACAAGTCAAGGTACAAAACGAAATCACTAACTCATAGATGTTCACAAGAAGCTAGATTTATCTGTTGTTTTCTGAGTTTATTTTAATTTGTGTTGGTGATTTGTGAATTCCTTAGCAATGTGGAAATGGTTTGAATCTGATTTCTGGCAATGTGGTAACATTAAGAGGCTAAGAAAATTAAGAAGCCAATAAAAGTAAGAGGCAAAGTTAAGTATGTGATTATTGGTGATTTAAAGAAGATATCACAAAAAAAAGAAAAGGGTTCGAATCTCAGATTGTGAAGATCGACTAAAGTGAAGTAAGAAGCTGCTTGTAATATAAATGTTTTGATTTCATCACATACCAAGTTATGTTATTGGCATAGTCGATAAATTATGTATCTTATTAATCAAGAAGCCAGGGGTTCAAATCTCAGGTTGTTACAAAATGTCAATGTCAATTTTGTAGTTGAGTGGATTGACTTACATTTATTTAAGATGGAGGTTATTTTTGTAAAATTAATTTAGTTTGAAGATTTTTTAACAGAAAATCCTATATGCTTTCGTATATTTTTGGAATACTTTTGACCCATAACATTACAAAAATTGTGGAATCAAGAAGACACTCCAATAAGGGAATACAAATATATTACAATCTTTCTGATTAGGCCTGGGCATTTTATCTGATTCGAAAAACCCAATCTGGATCCGACCCGAAAACCCGATCCGAATCCGGTCCGGTTCCTTCAAAATTATCCGGTCGGGAGAAATTGTGAATTAAATTCGAGTACCGAGTAATACCCGATCCGAACTAAAACCCGAACGTATATCTGAAAATCTAAACTTTCATATCCTAACTTCTAATCCCTAACCTTCGCGATACACTTAACTCAATTCCCGATTTTGAAACAAAAAACATAGAAAGTATCTATGATTTCATTTTCTCAATCTCGAACTTTAAGCCAACCATGCCCATTTTATACATCCGAAAAGTTGCAGTTGAAATTTTTTAATCGTTTTTGTGGAGCATCTCTTCCTTCTAAATCAGAAATTCTGATGTTTATAAAAATTATAATATCTTGTTGCATGTTCACAAATAGTAAGTGTCTTGAAGAATAGAGGGATTTCAAAAAGAAGAAGCATAAATTTATGCGACAAGCAAAATAGAAAATATAATTAAAAGTCATATATATAAAATCCTCATACTATTTCAAGGAGTGAAAAATCCTTAATGCATATCATATTTTTGTATTTTGTGTGTGTGATGATGAACATTGTAATCCTGCATTGAGTAAAAAACACAAAGGTATCTTGTGAAGGAAATATCAAACAAAGAAATTTCTTTGCAGCTTCAATAATTCGTAATCCTTCATTGAGTAAAAATGTTAGCAAACGTTTGCTCTATGGATACGTTTTCATAATGATGAGAGAAGCCGCAGTAAGATGCAAAAGATATACATAAACTTTAGAATATGCACAAGATACATTTTAACCAATAACACTTTTAAGTTTTTAAATAGGAAATCAGATACTTAGATTAGTATCGATCCAACCTTGTCGATGGCAAAGAGTTATTGACATGGCCACCTCACATCCGATGATTCAGTTGCTGAATTTGTGACAGATTGTGATTTTTTAAAACTAATGAAGCTGTAACTAAAACCTTTTGGCAGAACAACAAAATTATTTTACTTTGTTTGATCATGAATAATTTACGTCGTCTTGGGTGGTAACGTAGAACGTGCCGGCGACGTGCTTGTGTATAAGTCACTTATCAATATATCTCACATACGTTTTTCAGAAGTTACAAAATAAAAAGACGAACAGTACTTGGTTTCATGTCGATCCCTCTCATCTTAGATCGTACGTATCAGTGAGCTCTTTACATTTTTTTTTTTTTTGAGCTCTTTACATTTTCGTTATACTCTCTCTGTAATTTTGCCTGTTTCGTGGCTTATCCTCTTTTACGTTTTCTGGTTTTCATAAATATTCTTAAGCTGAACCAGACTGAAAAAAAGTATTTGGATTGCTACAACCAGCTCCCAAAATTATCTTCCTCAATGAGCCAATCCCGTTCAGTTGTGATAATATTTAGTGAGCAAGCCTATTTTTAATTTCTTCTTACAATGGAGATTTTTGATTATTATTATTATGTGGTTATAAACCTCCTCACCTGTTAAAAGAGTAGATTCAAGGCGATACCTTTTAGATGATCAAGATTGAATGTTAGGAACACATCTCTCATACTGTACCGTCTTAACTAAAACAAAGCATTGATCCCTCTGTTTTGCTGCCACTCATCACCAAATGCTGGCTAGATTATTGTCTCAAGATGAATTCTGTAAATGACGTAACTTTGGGTTAATGGAGATCTTGTACAATGTGACCTAACTTGGGTAAGAAGGTTCTCTGGATACATATTACCTTGTTATTTGGAGTTCAAGACAAGGTCTCTGTTCGAAACTTTAGAAGTAATTTCAGATGAAAGGTAGGCTATTCGTTGTACTCCAATCTGGATCTTACTCACTCTTATAAATCGACGGTTTCGAAAATTGTTGATTTGACAATGTTAATGGCATTGAATTTGTTTTGTTTGATCCCGTCAATTTAGGTTTTACAATGTTGACCAAAAGACATTATTCAAAAAACCTTACACTGATAGAAAAGAAAAAGAATTGTGTTTGCTAAAACAGGTGATGGAGAAGAAAGATGATTTTTACTTGAAAACGGATAAATAAATAATAACATCATCATATAATATATAAAAGTTGCATAGTGCATTGAGAGCATCCACATGGGATTAAAAAACTCGATCTGATTGGTCCACATCAGCATATTCATTATATAAAAAAATATTAAGTATAATTATGACGGAAAAACTTGATTTAATTGGTCCACATCAGCTTTTAAATCAAACTAAAAATTATTAAGTATAATTAGAACATTAAGAGTTAATTTAACAAAGGAAGTCCAACAAAAAAAATAAATTCAATATGATTGATCCAAATCAACATATTTATTAAATCAGAAAATGTTAATATGGTTTAAAAATATAAAAGTTAAATAAAATAATTAACAATTAACAATACATCATCATATCTATTACTAATAAAAGTTGATGCTAAATGCCTCTAAGGGTGTCCACATATGATTTAAAGATTCAATTTTATTGGTACACATCATCATTATTTTTAGTTAATTATATATTGTATATTAAAATTAAATAATTCGTTTTAATTGTTATAAGAAAAATTTCTAATTTTAATTAATTTTTTTTTTGTTATTAGGAAAGTTTCTAAATTTTAAGTTAGTTATTAATGAAAAAGAGTTTTGAAAATAGATCTTATTTTTCTATTAACAATAAAAAGGTAAATTAACATATAAATAGATTATGAAAGAAAAATCATATATATTGAACAAAATTACTAAAAACTGTATTTAAAACTATAATTAAATTATTTTAAAATTTTAATCACGACAAACAATTAAAATCTGAACTGCTAACTTAAAATATATTAGTTGTGGTCCGTGTTGATGTCTTATGTCAATAAGAGCGTCCACATATGACATATATACTCAATCTGATTAGTCTATATCAGCGTATTTCATTAAACATAAAAAATAAAAAATATTATTAATAATTTAAATAAATTAAAACATACAAACATATAAAATTATAACAATAGAATATAAAATTAAGATTATTTATTTAACTAAATAAAATAAATTGATGTCAAAAGTCTAAATATATTGTGAAAATAAAATGGAAACTCATTGTCACAAAAACTAAACTAACAAAAACAAATATGTAAATCAATAACAAAAAATTTAAATTAAAAAAACAATTTAGCATATATATTTTAAATGAGTAATTTATTTAGAAAAAATATTAAGATTAAATTTTCATATAAACATATAAAATTGTTATTTAAAAATATCAATACTACCAAAAAAACATTCATCTTAAATTATCAAAAAAGAAAGTCATCTAAAACTTATAAGTTTTGGGGAAATATTTTATAAAATAACACAAGAATCATAACAAACCAAAAATGATAATTTATGCTAATTACTGAAGAAAGCAATATAAAAAATGTTTAACTAACAAAACCAAAACATAAATTATTTCTTACAACATGTCAATATAATTAAAATGAAAGTCCATATCGAGAAAGCTAAATTAACAAAAAAAGAGGATATTAACTTAATATCTATGTTATTTATTTAACAAAATCAATATAAACAGAATAAGTAAGAGAATAAAAAACTTAAATAATACTAAAAAACTTAACTAACAATAATAATAAAAATATTTAAGCTA